ACATTCTGCAGTCTGCTGTGCTGCTGAGCTGGTGCACAGTAGGGTAGGTGTGTTCCATGCATGATCAACTGATATTTTAAATTTAGCAAAGGCTTTTTAGAACAAAGGCCCATCATAAGCCAAACAGCAACTGCACTTGCTAAAGCATGGTGGTGGTAATAGTAGAAAGAGAGTGTAATTTAAGAGACTTTTCCTCTGATGCTAAAATCTACAAACATAAAGAGACCCTAGATTTAAATGTAGAGTGATCGTTTCATAACAAGTGCTTGGTGAAAATTGCGAGGTTTAGAACTAATCTCTTGAGCAAGACAGAGGAAGGTGTCTCATGTCCCCTCCAAAGTGACTCCTGTGCCATTCTCCAAAATGGACTACTAAGCCAGTGTGGCCTCAAGCCTTTAGGTGTGTTTCTTACAGCTGTTTTTGTGGTGGATGAGGAGCTGCTGGACCTCATGGTGCTGGCAGTTTAGTGACCTCTGACAGGAGCAGCTTATACGTATTGGCCTTGAAGCGGGCACAGAAACTTGATCCCTCGCTGGGAAGGCTTCAGAGACTTTTGGTGGCTGCAGCAGGCCCAGCCACCTGGGGACAAGGGATGACGGGGCAGTTCAAATGTGGTAATAGCTGTTTTATACTGGTCTGCTCTAAAACTTTCAATGCAGTGGCTGATTATTGGGTCAACAAACATGAAAAGCTTTGTCTCACTGGCCCAAGTTTGAGCCAAAAGCCACAAGTCTTTCATGAGCATTTAGGATGAAGGATTAAACCAAAAGTGTTGATATTGGGGAGCAGCAGTTAAGGTCTTTATTATGTGTGCTTTGCCTGAGGAGAAAAGTGAGGCCACGTGAGCTGCGCAATGTCCTCGATCTCTTTTCAACCTGGAGTTGTAGGCCTGCTGTTCCCTTCATGTTTCCATGACAAGAATGGTAGCTGGTTTTCCAGTCAGACTTTTAACCAGTGGTTTCATTGGACTGAGACTATAATGTGGGTAGGGAATGGTGGTGCGTCACTTATTGAATCTGAATTTGACTGTGTCGTTCCCATTCTTGCAGTTAAGATTGTCCATTTGCTCTCCATCTGCTTTAGCAGGCCACATCTGGGTAGGCCTTACATCACCTCCCTCTGCTACTGTCGCACTGAGCTATTTCCTATTCTCCAAATGCTCCCCTTTCTCCTTAATGCACACCTTTGAGCATCCCACATCCTCGCTTTGGGATCACAGGCCCCTCCCTTGTGAGCCACCCTTGACAGTCTCAGAATTCAGTTTTCTTTGGTGCTCTGTACTTAGCTTTACCACCACACATTTCATGTTCTATTCAAATAACCTCCCACCCAACCTGGGAGACCCCGGAGATGGGGGTCCGGCTCTCTGTTGTAAGCACCCTTGAAGTCCCAGTGCCTGACACCTATAGTAGCAGGTGGGCACTGGCATCAGGATTGAGCGGAAGAGTTTCAGCAGACTGTAAGCACTGGAGAGGTTTCCAACAAAAGCGATCCTACATTCTTCTCTGCAGCAGACTAAACACCACATAGAAGCAACTAATGGTCCCCTCAGAACCGCTCTGCACAGCCTAAAATACACTGTCAGCTCTTCTTGATCCCAAGTTTCCCATCCGCTGATTCAACCAACCACGGGTAGAAAATATTTTGGGAAAAAATTGCATATATTTTAAATACATACAGACTTTACCCTCTTTTTATTATTTCTTAAACAATGCGGCACAGCAATTATTTATATGGCATTTACATTACAATGGGTATTCCAAGTAATCTAGAGATGGTCTGACCTATACAGGAGCATTGCGTAGCTTAAACGTGAGCACAGATACATATAAGGGGGTTGAGCACCTGAGAAGTTTGTTATCTGCCAGAGGTCCTGGAACCAACTTCCCTGCAGATACCAGAGCACTACTCAGCAATAAAGAGAAGCTCGAGTCGTCTGCAAGAACATGGCTGCACCTTGAGACCGTAATGTTAAGTGAAATCAATCCAACGCACAAGGGTACATAGCGCATGGTTTCTCTTAAATGAGAAACCCAAAGTACAAACAATTGAAAGAGCAATAGAAAGGTTAGATGAGGAGAGAAGGAGGTGCACAAAGAACAGAGCTGTGCTGGGTATGTGGGCCAACTCCCCATGCAGCGTGTAATCGTTATGTAACGTAAACATGTACTAATAACAATAAAAATGTAAAAAAGAAACCCGTGGTGCTCTTGCAGACCAATGAAAAGTAAGAACAGAAGTGCTTTGTAGACAGCTGGGAAGGTAGGGGAGGGAGGGAGGAGGAGGAAGGACAGGGAGGGGAAGGAAAAGAAGGGGTGCATGTTTACATCCGTTGAAGGAAGAGATCATTTCTATTTTTTTCTGAGGCCTGGTCCATGGACAAAAAGAAGAAAGGGACTGAAAGCAAATTCCATCCCTAAGATTAAAAAGAAGATTCTTCATCTCCATCAATCATAAAACACAGCTTTCCAAAGTGGCTGGGGGTGACGGTGAGTTGCATGAGGCAATGGAAACCAGACAAAAGCGAACACGAAGGCTGTTCATTAGCTCCGTTATTTCCCAGCTTCTCCCCTAGTCCTGCCTCTGAACTTTTCAGAGATAAATATGCTTTATCATTCACCTCGACGCACTGATCGCACCTCACGTTGTTGATGCTCCTTGGACACACTGCTTCTCTGCTTCCTGCTCTGCCGTGGACCGGTGAGGGAGGTGAGCTGAGGACCCGCGCACACCCCACCCCAGGACGCTGGGGAGACCCCAGTGCTGTTAGGTGCGGAGGCCGGCTCCTTGCAGCCCGCGGAGAGCTTCCCTCCTGCCAGGGCAGGCTGTCTCTACTTGCTCCTCTCAGGTTGCTCATCAAGCGCGGCTGGGGATTTTGGCAGCCTGCAGCTGTGTTTAAGTGTACATTTGCTTTATCTGCCGCATCCTTTGAGGATTCATTGCAGGCTGTTTTATCCACTTTAATGAGTGCTCTGAGAGTTTCTAAACACAGGCTGTGTCTGCACGTCCTGAACAGTGATTACTGTACCCCTGTGAGGCTGAGCACGCAGGGGCTCACCTGTCCTCTGCCACTTTCTTTGCACAGGACAGCAGCTCAAGTTCTGTGCCAAACAAGAGGAGCACTGCAGGGAGAGGGCGTTGGCCCCAAAGTAGGGCCGTCCAGTTTCCTTCCTTTCTCCCATAAGCCATCAGCTAATCAACCATTTCCTATTGCTATTTACCATTTGTGACAGTTTTTCAATCTATCCCCTAGCTCAGATAAGTAAATATGGCACATTTATTAAAAATCAAGCTTTATTTAATAAAATAGAGAGATATATTGTGTGAAGTAGAAAAAAGCTGGTTACGAAACAGTGACTGAACAACCACATTGGTGCATACATACGACTGAGAAAAGAACTTAGTAAGAAGGACTTACAAATGAGAATGCTTATTCCTGGAGTGGAATTAAAGTATATTTCTGCTTTATTTCTTGCATATTTTAAAACATTTTTCCAAATTTTGACATTGAACATGTATGTGTGAACTTTTATAATCTGAAAAAACACAACATTTTAGGGAAAAAAGCAAATATGCACAAATAAGGAGAAACAAGTATCCTATATTGTTTATTTTTGTCATCACTATTATTTAGTTAATTATTTATTATTTCCCTTACCAGCAAAATTTTCCTTGCCTGTCCCCATCTCTTTAATCTCTCCTTCCTTTATTCATTTGCTCTCAACAAAGACTTCTTAAAAAAACAAAACAAAATGAAAAATAAACTCAAGTGGTTCCTCTAAATACTCCAGAGTTCCCTGTAGGATACAGAAGTCTAAAATCTTCTGGCTGAAGATTCAAATGGCTGAGAGCTCATCTACACTTGAAATCAAACTTGACTCCCGTCTCCTTCCCTGGTGATACCCAGAAGCCTGCTTGGACTCTGCTGCTTGGAGTGCCATATGCCCCGGAGCCCTCATTTTTCCTTCTCCCATTCAATAAATACATCCAGAGACAGATCAGAGACCTCAGCCTCAAATCCTGGACAGACAGCCATTAACAGAGCAGAGATCCATGTCAAGGGACACACCTCCAGGGACAGCCCAGAGACCCCAAATCCTCGGGCACATGGACACGAACACACTGCAAGGGCTCATTTCTCCTTGTGGCCTCATGGTGGGCTGGAAGCTGTGGCTCGCTACCACTTCCCAGCATCCTAAGAGAAGATCCAGACCACCTCAAGAGAACTGAAATGTGCCTCCTGCCAGCCCTCTATCCCACCTCCCCTTGGGCCTCCCCAGGAGCAACCTGTCCTATGCCTGTGTGTATGCATATTCCAGTTTTGTGTAAATGGTCACCAACTGTAAATGCGGCTCTCTACTACGATCTTATCCTGTCATTACAGATGTTGGAGATGATTTCCTGCTAAAGTATCCAAGCATTCCTCATTTATTTTGATGGTTCTGTATTACTGTATTTATCTGATGAATGCATTTTGCGCTTGTTCTTAATAAATTCTCAGCTGACTTCCTCAATCAAAGCAGGCAGAAAGCATCCCCAAAGCAATCCCTTCCTAGTCCGAAGGGGACTCAGTCTGCCCCATGTTTTTTATCTTATGACATAGATGTATACTTTCTTTGCCACTCAGCATGGTTAGACATGTTTTAAACTTGGTGAAAAGCCCTGTTCTGTGTTTCCAAAGCAGAGGGCTTTATGCTCATGGAGGGACTGACCCCTTCTGGCTCACTAGATTGTGTTTCCTCCAGTTCTTTTCCTCCCATTGGCCATGCTAAAATGATCAATTAGACACAGTGTGGGCCAGAGGAAATATGAGACACCACATATTAATCAAAACCTTTGAGTTGCATGTCCATTACCTTCGGTGGCTCCTGTGTCATCATTCACTCTCTACACACTGTGGTGGCCCTGGGACTCCAGGACTCACTTGAGCTCTTTTCTGCCTGCATTTCTTGAACTTGCCTTAAATTCTCACAGAGACCCCTGGGAAATGACTCTTATTTAAGAAGGCTGTGCATGCATGTATTCGCATGTCAGACTTGCTCAGGGGCCATGCTAATCTTCTCTGTATTGTTACAATTTTAGTGTATGTGCTGCCGAAGTGAGCACTGTGCATCTGTGTGTTCATTGTCTAATTTCCAAAAATAAATTGATAGACCAATGTAGCTATACTGGGACTATACCTCCCACTTCACAGGTTGACTCTGAATGTGAGCTTAAGGGGATACTGGCCACAAATTGTTGAACTCACAAACTTTGACTTTGAATCTAACAAGCTCTTCACCCATTAGCCATGGCCAGACATTCCGGCCATCTTCAGAAGCTGTATTCACGTGAAGCATCATTTTTAGTAGGTCTGTAACTTTCCAATGGTTAGGAGGCACCTGTACTTGATGTAAAGTCTCTTTCTTCGTCTGAGTGTCCAGATCTTATGCATCCTTTAAACTTTCATTTGCTTTCAATGTCTTCAAAGATCTGCCCAGTTGGAATGAATAGCTTTTCTTCCCTATTCAATAGCTGACAATGTGTAACTCTACTTAGCTTTGATTTCTTTCAGTGTCATTTTAAGCTATTGTTGCCATGCCAGTTTCCTTTACTACACAGGCCGTGAGAACAAGAATTGGGCAAGTGGACCCTCATTCAAAATAAATCAGCCAGTGTTCATAAAAAGATATCCACTATCATCAGCTGCTCAGCAGTTAATAATTATAGAACACTTACTACATCCATATCATTTGGAGAATTGTGTATGAATTATTTCATTTAATTATCACAGTATTCTTTATTGGTATCATTTCTAATGGTTTTTTTTTTTTTTTTGCTATTTTTAATCTCTTTTTAAAAATACTCTTTATGTGCTAGGCATTGGATATTTTTGGCAGTAAGGATTGAATCCAGGGCTTTCACACTGAGCTATATTCCCAGCCATTTAAAAAAATTTGTTTTATTTAATTAATGAATTAATTAATTTATTTTTATGCATTTAGCACAGGGTCTACAGGGTCTCACTAAACAGATTGGATTCATAGTGATTCTCCCAAGTGCTGGGATTACAGGCATGCACCACCACGCCCAGTCTCAATCACTATCTCAACACGCTCCAGGGGCAAGGCTGGCACAGCATGCTGGGAATGGAACCCTGGCCATTGCGCTCTGCCTAAGCAGGCACTTTACTCCACTGAGCCATCTTGCTGGCCCTTTGATGTGTGTTTATATAATAAGGTGTATTTTCTTTAGTGAACTCCAAACTCCAGTAAATGAATAAAAGCCCAGCCATCAACAAGTAATGTAGAAATCTAACTCATTTCGACTTTAGTCGATAATATCACCCAAGTAGAGGCAGAGCTCCTACGATGACATGCAACCTGAGCAACACCTTCTTCCACCTCTACACCTCTCTGGCCACCTGTCTTACCCTCTTCTGTTGCCTCCTTGCTGATCTGCTATCCTGTCAGCATGGTTTTGCACCCTGCCCTCTCCACCGATGTTCCTTCTGGTTGAAACTCTTCCTGTGAATAGTCTTCATGTTTCTTCCTATTGTTATTTAAAAAGGAAACTTCTCAGACTGTTGTGTGTAACTGAATAACCAGCATCATTCTAGCTGACCCCCTGGGGTAGACAGTGGAAAATGAGCAGCACAAGCTGGTACCTTGACAAGTATGCATGAGGTGGGCTGGAAGTTCTAGGGACCAGTGCTGATGAGAGTCTCTAAGATATAAAATCAAAACATCCTGTATTCAGTCCTAAATCGCTAGACATGCAAACAAGCCAATAAGCAAGGACAGGATAGTCCTTGAAGCTCATTTTACAATGAGCCAAATATTGGACTTAGGAAAAGAAGACTACAAAACATATATATTTTGCATTATACATTCAAATATTAAAATGCATTCATTAATTAGAAATAATCCTAATGTGGGAATGTAGGTGAAAATTTTATCATAGATGTAAACCATAGACAGAAATAAAGGGAAAATCTAGAACTGTGCAGTGCCTGAAGTGAACTAGTCACTGTAGGTGTGTCCCAGCAGGGAGGAGGATCAGAAGCTAGAGGTCGAGCAGAAGAAATGGGCAAAGGTGAGGAACAGAGAGGAAAACATGTAAAGGAAAGTAAACAGAGGGCTAGAGACTATGGGACAATATCAATCGTGTGTGTGTGTGTGTGTGTGTGTGTGTGTGTGTGTGATGTTGCACAGAATTAAGTGAGAACAGAAAAAACACATGAAGAAATAATAGCCAAGAACTTCCCAAATTGAAACAAAAACTTAAATTCTAAGAATCTCAAGCACAATGAAGATAAAGAAATCCGCATTTTGATAGTTCACAGTTGAGCTTCCAAATGCCAAAGGTAAAGACAAAATCTTGAAAGCAGCCAGAGAAAAAAGTACACATTAGAGAACAGGTGCAACAAAATGACACATTTCAAGTGCTCAATTAAAAATCCTGGCTATATACACCCATATTGAACAAAAATAGTCTTCAAAATTGAAGACGAAATACAGAGATTTTCACATACACAAAATCTGAGCAGATTCATAATCAGAAGGTGCAGACTATAAAGACTGATAAAAGAAGCCCTTCAGACCAAAGGCCAAGTCTACCACAGGAAGGCTGTGGAAAGACTGAAGAGTCACAAAATGATAAACAGCTGAAGAAATACACAGCTGAAAGAAAGTGTATTCATTTTATGGACAGTATACTATTCAGTAATTAAGAAACAGCAAATACTGATAAATATGATGGCAGGGCTTTTGTTGACCAAAAGAAACCATCTCATTCATTCTGGAATAAGGATTTTTTTTTTTTTTTTTTGGTTCCTCGAATGCCTTCAGGGCACTTTTGGCCAGCGGGAGAGTTGTGAGGTTCGAACTCCAGCAACCTGAGGCTGACAGCTTTGTGGAAGCAGCCACTTAAAGGACTGAGCTAGGGCCAGGGCCCCTCATTCATTTTGTATGATTTCATTTTTATGAACTTCTAGAACAGGAAACATCAACCTATAATAAACAATATGCATAGAAGATTGGCTTGGGAGTGGGACACAACACAAAGAAGTAGGGGGAACTTTTTAGGGAGACAGAAAGTTTCTATACATTGATTACAGTGGTGAATATATATATATATACATATATATATGTATATATATATGTCATTGACATGAACTCTTCAAATGTAAGTTTTCATGATTATACCTTAATACATTTGTTCAAAATTTAAAGAAGCTAATTTGTCATTAGAGCTTATTCTGAGTATCTTATTAACAACTGCACCCCAATGCTCATTATCTGGGGTTTTTTTTGAACATGCATTTATGATTGTCATACTGGGTATTTTATTTATCTTGTTTTCTCTCCCCTTATAAAATATAAATTTGATGTGGACAAAGCTAAGCTTACCTGGCACATCACACATGCACAATAAATCCTGCCTGGGTGAATGAAGGAATGAATTTACTTTTTGCACCATTACCAAACATAAGATTGATTGAAAAGGCTAAAATTATGAAATACTAACATGCTGTGAAACTCAAGGCAGTGATGTTAGGCTAATTTAGTTATAAATTTAAGTTAAAAAGGAAATTCCATGTAGAATAAGGGCACGAGGCAGGAGTTGGAGTGCTGGTTGGTTACAGAACTGTCCTGTAATAGATGTCATACCAAACTACGAATGCAGCCTCAGAGTTAGGCTTCTCATTTAGTTCCAAACTTGAGGCAGTTAGAAAATGGCACAGAACAGAAAGCCCTGGACACTCTGGGCAAGACCCTCCTGAGGATGTCTACCCGGAAGCCCTTCAGAAGTAGGTGTAGACCAATGTGAGCAATGCACTCCTGCTTGCCATACCCTTCAAGGAAGAGAGCAAATCGAGTTAAATTCCAGGGTTCAGGTGAGGCTGTGATCATCGAAGGTAAACTCAAGGTTGACACACTCAAGGTTGCAAACCGCAAAGCCGTGGGCTGACTAGAGCATGTGGCCTTCAAGGCAAACTCTCCTGGTTTCCACTGCACATCAGTGGTTTTCTCCACATTTCCGAGTGAGACTGTGTTCTGCCTGGCACTGTGCCCTGGCTTTTAGCTCCCCATGAACCTCCATCTGCCAAAGCCTATCATAAATGCAAGTATCAGCTCCTCTAGCTCTGAAGGTCAGAAAAACGCGAATCTTGTCTTCTAATTTTGTCAGCAAAAATCACCTTTATTTTCTTCCTTCTCATCCCTCTGTCCTTTGTACTATCCCAGCTCCCCAGAAGAGTGTCAGAATTTCAAGAAACCCTGCAGCGTGGGTGGAGGCAGCACGGGGAGCTCTCACTTCTCCTTCCAAGCCCTTGTGACTCCTACAGCGCTAAAAACTATGAGTCGGGTCTTGGAAACTCAAAGGAAATGAATTCAGGGAAGTCACGTGAAAGTAGGTAATACTGAGGAAATGCATATGTATAGATCTTGTCCAGAATAGGATGACTGAGAAGGGGCTTGGAAGGAGGCACCAGGACAGGTAGGATGGGAAGGGAGTGAAAGAACAAAGAGAACTCAGAGACTGAGGGCAGAAAGAGGGAGAAGGAGGGAGGGGTGTTCAGGGCTTCACAGGGAGGAGCTGAGAAGCAGGGTGAGGGCCACAAAAGGCAGCTGGTGGACACTTTAAACCTGATCCAAGAAATCCAAGCAATAGAGCCATGACACTTGTGACGTATGTAGACTACATAGCTTCAGACACCGTGAGGGAATCTCAGGGTTTAGGGTCCTCGTGTGTGGAGCTATTTTGATATGAAGGACAGCAGAGGACTATCCAGCATCACATCAGCAGATGTGTATGAGTAGACCATGTGTGCGTGTTTGTGCGCACATATGTGTGTGTGTGTGTGTGTGTGTGTGTGTGTGTGTGTGTGTGTGTTTGCTGCATTTTGGGACCTTTGAAGAAGAAACTTTCCTTCTGTCAACTTCAACATCTTACAGGGAGCCAGGACCTGCCCGCTGCTCGGCTGTCATGGTCACAGGGCGCTGTGGCTTCATTTCCAGGTGAAACTCAGAAGAGTGTCCCGCCTGAAGCTGCTCTAAGTCCTCCTGCCTTCTGCCTCTACATTTCCAAAGAGACTTCGTGGAGGATGGATCAGTCTCATGAGC